GGCTCAAGTAATGTCAGGGACTCAACTTGGACTTGACTTGGGAGCAATGAACAAGTTACTCGACTCAATATTTCTCTTGTTTTTATGACCTAGTTGCTTTTTGCATGAGGGAGGTGGTGGGAGGGAGGGACTAGGGGGTGGGAGCAGGAGAAGGGGGGTTGCAATACAGGTAGTCCCCAGGTTACGGACTTATGAAAGCACAGATGGCCATAAACTCTACATGAATATCTCTAAAGAAAAGCTGTGAATATCTCTAGGGAACTACACAGTGTGTTGTGTGACACACCATCGGTGGCCATGTAGTTCCCTAGATACATTCATGGCTTTTTGTTCCACAGCATTGGCTTGTACATACCCATGCCAGTATGTTTTGGGGCATGTGTAGGACTTCAAGGATAAGCCATGGCAAAACAGTTTCTAGGAAGGGCAGAAGAAAAGGTGCCCAGATGACTTCTCCCTACTCCTCTGGAGAAAGAACAGACCCTGTCTGAGTAGAATTTGGTAGGCTTGATCCCCTCCAAAGTGGCCAATAGCCCTGCAAATATTACCCAATTGTATAAAGAGAAAGAAAAAAGTTCTGATTATTCTCTCTGCTTTGTTTTAGGTTTGGTTTGGTTTGGAAATGGTTTGGTTTGGTTATGGTTTATTATAAATTAGTAGAGTAACTCATAAATATATTCAGAAAATGAATGAACAAAAAGAACAAACATCATAAAGTACTTTAAAGTGCTTCAAATGCTTCATAATCATGATCTTGTTATAATCTATGCAAAAATGATAGAGTTAACTTAACTCTATAGACACTGATTTGAAAGAATGGTTGAACCTTTTTGAAGAACTATTTCTTTTACTTGTTTTTTACAATACTGTGTACCTACACATACACATACAGATTCTCTCTCTCTGTTGTCAGTACCTGTAATTACCTTATTATGACTGTATTATTATCATTGTTACAATGATATATTGTGTTTACGATGTTTTAGTGAATATGGAAGTGTTTCTTAAGTTTTTTATATGCAGAGAAATGTAAAATATATACATATAATAAGACAAACTTTTGGCTTACTCATGGGATCTGACATACATACAAATTTGACTTAAGGATGTTCTCAGGAACAGATGCTGTCCGTAACCTGGGGACTACCTGCATAGGGGGAAGGCTTCAGCTTTTTTTGGTGCACTTTGCTCACCTCGGCAGGAAGCACAGCAGCACTTCTTCCTGCCTGCTGCCTCTGCTCTGGGCCTGCACATTTCCTGGGAGAATAACAGTGCCAGGCTGGGGGGCAATCATGACGAGAAAATTGTTTTTCTAAATGGCAATCTTGATAAATTCTAATAACTGCACAGCTTTGTTTAAATATATCATGCTTGAAGTAAAGGACTTCAATGCATCACTGGGAGAAGTGCAGATGGGAACATTGGGGGTGGGGGTTACAACTCTCCCACTCCCACACCCTATCACCACCTCCCTTTTCTCTGTTAAAGTTGACTCTTGAGACTTGAGAAGATACTTGAGACTTGACTTGGAAATTTCTTGCTATGACTTGAGACTCAACTTGGGCTTGAAAGTAAAGACCTGGGACTTGACTCAAGACTTGGAGTAAAGGACTTGAACATTTCACTTCTGGAGGGTCACCACTTGCCCAGCCCTAGACTACAAGCACACTAAGAGCAATACGATGGCAGGAAATGCCCAGTTAAAGCTTCCACCTTTACCAAAAATATAGGAAGCCACCCGACACAAGGACAGGTGCTCTGCAGCAGCATCTCTCCTCCACCTCCTTCAGTGGGGCAACTGTTTGGCTTGAGGGCTACATGCAGTGCTGGGCTGGGGCCACACACTGGCATTCACATACACAGCCACACACAATCTCTTCCTCCCACCCACATTTCAGTGCCTGCAGGTGGGGAGCTTTAAGGCCACCACTGAACCTGGCAGGGCCAGGAGCACTTGAGGCTGAAGAGGTTACAGCCCCTTCATCACCAGCCACGCCAACTCATCACTGTGCCCTGCCGCCGTCCCTGGTAGGGAGTGACTCTGCCAGCATTGTGATGGATGAGGCGAGAAGGGAGGGAAGATCTCTCCCCTTGCTCCAGCCCTGCGATAGCTGTGTGGGAAGAGCTACTGTCCCTGGCTGGAGCACCCCAGGCCTCAGCAGGCCGTACCGAGGGGGCAGAGAGCCACAGGTGGTCCACTGGTTGCCCACCCCTGCACTGCCTAACCCGTTTGAGCCAGAGCTGCCTAGGACTGAATCCATGAGCTTCTGCATGCATGTGCTGGCGCTGGCCCCCTTCCCCTCCTCCTGCATCTCTCTGCCAGGGACAGGTGGTGCACTTGCACTGCTGCCTGTCATGTAGCTGCTAAAGGCACAGCGGCAGCCGGCCCACAGAAATACCGCAGCTCTTAATATTACTGATCTTCTTCTCTGCTTCCCACAATGGACTGCAGAGCTGTCTTCTTCCCATTACACTGTGGTACACCTGACTGTGCAGGATGCTTCCCCTGAACCATCACTGGGCACTGGATACCTCTGACTCTCCTAGGAGGTGCCCTCAGTGTTACGAGGTGGTGTCCTTTCCCATTCCATGCTTTGTAGAATTGCCAAAGAAAAGTTAGCACAGGCCCATCCCCCTGTCCCAAAGCTCTGTAATACAGCCACTTGTCTTACATTTTCAGGGATAGTGGGAAGTTTGCCATGGTCAGGGACTATGAAATAAGCCTAGAACAAAAAAAAGAAGAAGAAGAAGATAACCATCACAGGCTAGAAGAGCATTTAGCAAAACAAAGTGTGTGCTGGCAGCTGGCAATCATCTGAGTAACTTATATTACTAACCAGAACAGCTTAGCCAAATGCATTAAGGCCAAACAAGATACACCAGAAAATGCATGACTGATCTCTCAACTTTCTTTGAAAAATTAAATCTAACTTTGTGTCTGTGTTAAATTCAATCAAGGAAACAAATGGTGACTGGGAAGTTTAAAGGCGTCTTCTGTGCACTGGTGTCCTAATTTAAATCCCCATCCCACACTATTTGCTTGCGTGGCAGAAGGAAAGAGAAATTATAGGAATGATACAGGCCCCTGCACCCTCCAAGACAACTCATAGTATCACTTGCTGTACCAGCTGCTGCAGCTGCAACAAAAACATTTTTTTAAGAAAAGAAGAGACTCTGCTAAGTAAAAAACAAAAAAGCAACTCCTTACAGGTTGAGATTTAGGACAGCAGAGAACTAGCAGTGCATAAGCTACAACCTTCCTCGGCAATGTGCTCCTTTTCATCTACGCACACAAACACATAGTGTGAGTATTTTAGAAAACAGATTTCTCCCACCGGCAGTTTAGACTGCTGGAGCCCTTCTGTACCACCTCATTCTGTAGCAGATGTAGATCAGCAGCTAGTTCCTCAAATAAAGTAGTTACACCAGTTTGATGGTATAGTGGCAAATTGCCAAGAGACATTTAGTTAGCCGGCATACATTGGATGTCTGACTTACCGATACTGCCCCTGAATTCAGATCCTGTTTCCAGTCTTGTCTGTTCTGATCAAACTCAGTGGAAATTTTCAATTTAGTCATCCTTGGGTCCTTAGAAGACAACAACAACAAAAAGAAAATCAAATGGTTAAACGGAATTCAAAGACGTGCTCACCACTCCAAGCCAAAGCCCAGGTGACAATATCACATCACATTTAAGAGTTAGACATGATTCCATGATCAGTTTTTTCAATAACATTCCGGAGCTTTCAAAACTATTCCAAAACACTTTTGAGAGTATGACATATCATAAAAGAAACTTATTTTAAAACAGGTTTTGTTTTTAAAGCAAGTTTTCTGCACTTCTTTCCACTCCCACTTCATCTAGTAGTATTCTACAAAAGAAAGCATTTATGCCACAGATTACTAAACTCCATAGCTGAACAAACATCCTTGGTTTGTATCAGGTCTCCTAGGAGCCAACCTAGACATGATGTTAAATGTATCTTCGCATTTGGGTGGCAGGTTTTAAACAAGTGTAAATATTATAGGGGGTGGGGTGATAAATATCAGGATCAAACAACCGTGTAGGAAGAATTTAATCCCTCCTCCATCCCTGAAATTTGCACTGGGAAGGAACCTTTTCTCATGGGCACCAATGCAAGCTACCAGTTCCAGAGATGGGATTTTCTTCAGGACCATAGCATGGAAGCAGGTGAATTCTGTTATCTGTCCCTCCCCAACCCCTCCTGTTGTGAACCTGATAGCTGTGCTATTTGTATTTTTTTTAAAAATCCTGCATGAGAAATACAAAGCATTTAAGTGTCAGGTCTGGTATGGTGTCTGAAGTCCCTTCTTCTCTTCCTTGTTCATGTACAGGTTCCTGATTCCTTCTGGATTGAAATTTTCTACCCCCACTCCATCTTCGTGTAAGGAAGAGCTGCACCTGTTGGAGTCTTCCATACAGCTCTTTAAAGGCCCTGGGCAACACCCAGTACCTGCAACCCACCAGTACTAAACAAGATGCACTTCGGGAGTGCTATTGCAAAGTAGTGCAACCCAGGAAATTGGCTGAAACTACTGTGAGCTTGTCAGACCCTCCGATGCCACAGAAATGTTGCCTTTTGCTACTTTCTAGTTTCTCTAGCCAGCACTTGTTCCCCAAGTCACTGACAATTATTCCCATGGACAAAGCAGCAGTGTTGGTTGCACTCCCCAGAAAAGAGCCCCCTGCTGCAAAAGATGGTGTGAGCCCTACCAGAAATGGAGGATGTCCTCAGATTTTTGCAACTCCTCTGTGTTAGAGAGGTGAATACTTACAAATTCAAGGCTGATGGAGCCACTGAGGTTGGGCACAGGGTGGATATACAGTGCTGACAAGAACTCATCCAACTCTGTGATCTGGAGGAGGGGATAAAGGCGGAGGTTGAATGTCTTTGAATTAGGAAAAAAATAATAAGGAGCAGGGGTGAGGGGAAAGATGCCACAGCAGAAGCTTGCCAGCCTCTGAAATGGACTAAAAATTCCAACACTTACTTGCTTTTTGGCTAAGTTGTCTGCAACATAGTTCAGGATCTTGTAAAAAACTTCAAACCAGGGCAAGTAACTGTTGGAAGAAGCAACAGCATCAGGGAACCAACTGACCACAAACATTTGCTTTATCTGTGAAACACATCCTGTACAATCCTTGTCATCGCCATGTCCAAGGAGCCTCAGGTGGGAAAGGCTGAGGAAGACTCTAAATGGACACTGATACTCTGTGCTGGACTTGGATGGATCCATGGTGCAATTCCGCAGATATTTGGGATGGAAAAGATTGCACACCCCTAATGTAGAAGGGACACCTCTGAACATCGAGTTTCCAGCTGAAAGGCAGCAGAGGAGCAGCTGGATGGTAGGGATGAGGCTCCAGCATCGGTCCCTGGCATGATCTCTCCTAGTGTGCCTAGGAAAAGCCCCTGTGAGAGTCGGTTTAGTATAGTGGTGAAAGAGTTGGACTGGGGACCTGGGAAATCCTGGTTCTAGTCCCTATCCAGCCATGAAGGTCACTGGGTAACTTGGGCCAGTCACTCAGTCACAGCCTCACTTTACTTCACAGGGTTGCTGTGAGGGTAAAATAGAGTACAAGAAGACTATGTAAGCTGCCTTAGGTTCTTTGCAGGAAAAAAGGCAGGGTATAGAATAATACTTATGTGGGAGCTGGAGGAGACATCCTGGGTTACCTAGACTAATGCCCCCGTGGATTGGATTTTCAGACTGAATGGCCAGATGCAGCATGGAAAAGACCTGGGCCCTCTCATTGAGAAAGAGATTCCCAAAGAAACGAAGAGCAAGCTACAACACGGGATGCTAGTGCTAAATGATGTAATTTGCCAGCAACAGAGGAGACTATAGCTCCTTTAAAAACAGAGTTTTGTTCTGTTGTGTCAGACAGTGGGGTAGGCACTGACTCAAGTGCACTGAAGAGGCATGTGGGTAGCTTGATGGTAACAGGCTTCAGTAATGGCTTATCCAAGTCTGCACTTTCAGCTGGTTAGACTTTGGGTTCCAAAGTGGAATGAGGGAAAGAGGCAGACGGTTTTCTGTAGGGCTTGTGTGAACATGTGTGGGGGTGGGGGTGATTACACATGAAAGGATTTTCTTTGTATAGTTATCAATAAAGAACAAAGCAATGAAATCCACATTCGTCCCCACAAAACTGAAAACCCACCAATGTTTGCATTTGGGTGGCTACAGCATGTAGAGCTTTTTCTGTCTAAATACGTATTAGACTGTGTCTATAATGGTGCAGTGCTATGCACATCTACCTAGGCTGAGTTCAGGGGGGACTTTCTCCCAGGTTAAGTGTGTGCAGGATCGTAGCCTCAGCTGTGGGCCAGAAGTGCCTGGTTCAACTCTGCTATGCAGGTACCTTAAGCAAGATATTTCCCCTTCAGCTTCACTCCATAAACTCCCTTACCTTACAGGGCTGATGCAAGGATAACATTTAGCACAACAGAAGCTCAAAGCACTTCACATATATTATAATCATTACAACCTTGTGAGGTTGGCCAGTAATATTATCTGCACATTGCATTTCTTAGAGCACGGATTGCTCAGGGCCACTTACTGAGCTCATGATGTTCAAACAAACTTGGCACATCTCAACTCATAAAGCCACTACATATTACTATTATGGCTTATTTTTTTATTAGATTTATACCCTGCTTTTTTCATTTTTTAAAGAACTTGAAGTGATGTGCATCATTCTGTCCTCCTGCTCTCCTCCTTATCCCCACAACAACAACCCTGTGAGGTAAGTTGGGCTGAGAGTCTGTGACTGGCCCAAAGTCCCCCAGCTGGCTCCATGGCTGAGTGGGGACTAGAACCCAGATTGCCTGAGTCCCAGTCCCATGCTCTTGACCACCACTTCACACTATTCACTTTCTGACATTCTTCCAATATGAACTCTGCACAAATAAGAACCTTTTTGTGGAATTGCATGTCCTTACTATACTTTGTTTTTCAGAGAGACCCTCTGCATCTCTTCTGCCTGGGACTAGCTTTGCTGATCTTATTCACAGCCTCTCTCTGGCTAGCAGGAGCACCCCCCCCCCCGCCAAAGGAAACCCAGCATATTACGAATGCTTTTAGCAGCAACATGAGAAACCCCACCTGTGAGAGGAGGCCAAAAAAGAGTGAATCATCATACCTGAGGATACATAGGCATCTATGGAAGCCTATGGCCAGTCGGCAGAAACCAAAGCGCTGCTTCCCCTCCATGTCGGTGAGTGCGAAAGTGAAGTGTTGGACTATAGGGCTCTCCTTAACCCTTAAGAGGAAATGAGGAAACAGTGTAAATGGAAGGTGGTGGTGGAGGCAGTGGGGGTGGGGAGGGATAATACATAGGGGGCCCAAATTATAGATACACACACACACACACATTTGTTAAAAGGAAGCCAGTTTATGATGGCATTTGCTGTGGTGAGCAGATGCACAAAGCAGTTGCTGATGTTAATAACATGTGGGATGGTGTCACTTGGTGTCCTGCAGCAGCAGAGGGTTGGACCCAACGGCCTTCATGGCCCCTTCCAACTCTACTATTCTATGATTCTATGTAACTCCCAAGGGGGAATAATGTCCTACATTGTGGGGCCAAAGGAAAGGGACAGCAGTAGATGTGTGTGCTATTTTCACAAAGGACAAATGCAGAGGAAGCAGGCATAAGAAAGTGGTTTGTAAAGTCATGCATGGTATGGAGAAAGTGGATAGCCAGTCCTCCAGAACAGTGACTCATCAGAGATAGAGGAAGTATCCTCTTTTGTCTGCTGAGAGTTCCTTGTTTTGCAAGGAGTGATTGAATGATCCAGCCACTGCAGGTGCTGACACTGCAGATCTATCTGTTTCCAGCAGAGGCCGATAGAGGAGACAAAGCCCCATGAGTCATGCAGGTCCCAGTGGCACCCCCTTCAGCTCACAAGGAGCCTCCACGTCTTGTCCAGGAGTGCTGCAGCAGGGCCACGTGGCGTGACTGCTGCACGTGTCGGGACGCCTCTCCCCGGCACCATCTCCCCAGACACTGCGTTCAGTGTCAGTGCCGCCCCTGGCGAGGCTTGGCTGGTGGCAACAAGGAAGAGGTCTGCTCTGGGACAGCCCCCCCCCGCCCCCCCCATTGAAATGATCTCCCCGCTAAGGCCTGCTTGGCACCAGCTCTACTATCCTTTTGGCATCTGGTGAAGGCTGCCCTCCGTGTTGAGGCATCTCGCACTTGGGGAGGCAGCAGTGTGTGGGGGGCACTTATGTCCTCTGCTTTAACTGTTCTAGTTGTATTAACTTGTCTTCGTTATTTAAATTCTTTAAAATTGGCTTTTTAACTATCTGTAGTAGAAATGTATGATCTTAGTGCTACTTGTATTTTATATTATATTTTATTGTATTTTATGAACTTTGGCTATTGGGCAGTACAGAAATGAAATTGTAATAATAATCAACAACAGATCCTCTTAAGAGGTTAAAATGCCCACCCAGTTTCTTAACATGTTAATTTGTTAGTATCCAATTTATTTCCATTTCTCCTCTTACAAAGGTAACATCTGATTATTATTCTAACCTTTTGTTGCAAAGGCTTAAGGCTATGAGTACTACCCAGTTAAGTTTTCTTGTTGATGGAACTATTTCTGTCCGCAGAAGAGGGAGTGAATTCTTGTCTCTTCTAGAACAGATTTTAGGGGCCTGCGGAGGAAGCGTAGAAATTGATTTTCCCTCTTTGCCTGTGTGTACATTACCTGATGACTACAGCATTAGTTTAAGACTTTAATGCACAAAAGACCCATCACAGACTGATGTTTTGTTACATAGAATATTTCAGTCTAGGAAGTTCCCAAGCTCAGCTGTGAAATATCAGATGGGGACCATCACATGAAGAAATCAAGTAATGTACCTGCATATGAATTGATGAGCCTATTAGTGGCAGGAAGAGAAAGACTGATCACACTCAGAGAATGGACAAGCATTCCATAGTGAAGAGAAAGTTGGGGTGGAATTCTGCAGAGACAGATCTAGAAAATGGGCAGTGTTATACAAGAGGGGCTTGTTACAAAAGGCCAAATGCCCGACTCTGGGGTGCTGTTCCTAGGTCTTTGAGTATGGGTGAGAGAAGCTGCTAACACGGAAGTGCCTAGAGCAGGGTGGCTTAGTGAAGATTGCCAAATGACCAGGAAAAAAGTGCAGGCTGAGAAGCTCTTGTGCCCTTAACAGCAATTTGCTCTGCAGATCTTGGCAACAGAGAGTTTTCATTGCATGGAGTTCCAACTCTTCAAATCTCTGTTAAAGGCACAGCTGAAGTGGCTGGCTGAAGAGCTGGCCATCCCAAATCGCAACAGGGGTGGATGTGTAGGTAACCGGGGAGCTTCCATTCTTGCAAGTGGTTGCATACCTTTCTAAGTCAAAGGGGAAGCAAAACCTGGGCAGCATCTGTATTGATTCCTAGATGCAGAGAAAGGGGATATTGGTTATTACAGGAGTCACATAGTGTACTAGCCAGAGCACATCAGTCACCTACGCAGGCAACTGGAGAATGACTTTGGCCAGCAAGGAAAGCCCTTGCGCTTGCGTAGAGTGGCATGCATCAACAGAACAACCCTTACTTATGCTCCGAATCTAACCAAACTGCAGCCAGCATCTGAAGCTTCCCTGTACGCGCCTCCTCCAAGGAAGGGACGGGGGTGGCAATGAGGGACAGAGCCTTCTTATGGGGTCTCCCTTATTGTGGACCAGTCTCTCCACTGAGACTGCCTGGCACCAACCTTGTCCTCTGCTTAGTGCCAGCTAGTTTAACCCAGGAATCCTCATCTGGGCAACACAGGACACTTACTATTTCTGATGAATTTTTGTCCGCACCCTTAGATTGTTGCTGAGAAAATCGTAATTAAACTTATGACAATTCAGAGTTTTAGTAGCACAGTCTTCAAAGCCTGCAAAAGTGACTAGACTGCATGTCTTTACACAAGTCGGCTATGAAGATAATAGCTTGGCAATACAAAATGGTAGTCAATTAGCCAGCAAGTTTAAAAAAACCAACCAACCAGAAAAGCTCTTGGAGGAGGGATGGAGCTGACAAACAGTGCAGAAATCAAGTGAACAGTGAGAAAGGTTACTGTGTAGTCTAAGCAAGTATTATTGTACCCATTAGAAGCCAGGCTTGCAAACTCGGGCCTATTCTTGACTTATATTGTTGCTTCTTTGGGAGCCATAAGCCAGGAACCCAGGCTTGGACTGCACATTAAGCATTCTGTTTCTAGTTAGTTTGGTCGCTTCTGCTGATGTTCCAGAGTGGGAGCAAGCAGGCTGCACGAACTAGCAGTCTTCCCCAGCCTCAAGCCCCCCAGATGCTCTGCCATCAGGAGGATTGTAAGAGTTGCAGTCCAGTACTGCTCGTTGGTGCCAGGCTGGAGAGGGCTGCACTCACACATGGCTCATTCATGGGAAGCCAGGACTCCCTGGAATTCTGACATGCTTGTGTACCTGTGTGATGGCCTAATTTTAGAGCCCAGGGAGGAGAAGCAGGATGAAAGTTACAAGTTTGGCATACACTGGCAGTGATTTAGGAGTGAGGGAGGTGGAGCTGGGCAGCAAATTTGCAGAGGACAGACCTGATCATCGAACTCCAGCGGGAACTGTCTAAGCACTTGAGGATCTGCACAGAGAAGAGAGAAAAGGTGAGCAGATGGAACACAGACATTTTCCCTTTTGCGTGGTTTTAAATGCATGCGGAGCTCAGCTGGGCCACGGTGCTACATGTCCCTCCTAGAAATGATTCTTTAGCGCAAGGGCGTTCAATCTCAGGTCTGCAGACTAAATCTGGTCTGCTTGGAGTTTCAGTCTGTCACTCTGGGGTTTCCCAGAGGGCTCCCTTCACCCACCTCCTGCTTGCTGGGTAGTTTCCTGACTTGTGTACAGCTTGAAAAAGTTCGAAATGCCTCTCCTAAGGCTGTTACTGACGCTGAGGGCTTCATGTTAAAATCTAAAAGCTTGTTGATATTTTGGCCCCACCGAAATATTAATGCACACCCAAGACATTCTGTGCCAGCACAGGGCTTCCCCCTAGCTCAGTGGCAGAACATCTGCTTTACATGCAGAAGGTTTCATCAGCAGGGGAAGGGCACCCATGGTAGGTGATGCAAAAGACTCCTCTTTGCCAATGCCATGCTGGGAGTTGCAGGACCCTTTTCTGTCTACACAAGCATAGGATTGTGCCCTGAAATGTTTTGCAGTGGCCAACTTTCTACTTGTCCCCTTTGTCCAGAAGCTGATAGTTACAAGGTAAAAGTATACAGTAGATACAGAAAATGAAAAAGGGACTTTAGTAATGTACACTGTGGGTACAGCAAAGTAGTGTTACCCTTGGTGTGAGAACAGGATGTTACAACAGCATAGGATTTCCTGATTTTAACCGTGAAATGTTGGAAAGTGTATTGTATTGTATTGTTTGTTTATTTTGATTTAGTCCCAACCAGGACTCTCTGGGCAGTGTTCATCCATTCATATCGTTCCTCTTCCAACCTTGTGTTACAGAAACTTACTACAGAACATCCAGAGTAAAAATACTTGATATGGACAACCATAGCGCTTTGATTTGCTTTTGTAAAAGAAAGAATTAATATGAGCTATGAATTGACAGTGTTCATTTTCAGTTCTAGTACTCGGGATGTTGAAGGCAACAGCCACAAGAGCTGAGAGTACCGCTGCTTCAAGTACATGCTCAGATTCGCAGCATGGCTTCCTAGTGTATGTGAGATTCAGCGTTTCTGTTTCAGAAACTAATACTCACACAGGAAGGAGAGAAGCTGGTAGGAGGTGATGAAAGAGCTTCATGCTGCCTCTGGGCAGAGGTGGTGCTTTGCATGCTTACCAGCTTCCCTGGGCCACATGGCTGTGGTAGACATTTGCAGTTCAAATATAGATTTGCAGTTCTTTTTCTTATTTTTAATTGCCACCTCAGGCCATCTGGAGAAAAACTCACAAGGGAGTAGCAGGAGGAAGAAGTGCAGAAATTAGGCCCTGGTGCTGTTAAACAGGGACTTGCAGCACATGGAACTGGAAGGGATCCAGGAGGATGAGGGCACTGATACAAGCTTTGGGTGACTGCCGAAAACATGGGCAGGAGCTGAGCATACAAAGGACCATTGAGACCCTAGTGACTGCCATCCAACATTCGCTCAAGAATGTGCTCTGAGCCTTCCAGCTTACTTGGTAAAAGCCTTGCACATCTTGCAACATCTGATATAAGATGTCCATACTAGAGACGGTGGAGAAATCCACAAAGGACACACGAGTTTCATCGGACCTGAGGATTTGGCAGAAGACCAGATTTTCCCAAGTTGTCTGTATTCTGCAAACTTGCAGACTAGGCTTTCTGTAATTTTACATAAATGTAGTCATAAAAATACAGAAATTGCCTTTTAAAAACACCAACCAAGATTGTGCCTGCAACTTTTTCCTCTGTAAGCTAAAGAGTGAAAATACAATCTCCTTCAGGGATCTGCACGTGTTTGGGGGATTTGTGCATTTTCAAGAATTCACGCATTTACACAAAAGTGTATCAAGACATTTATACAAAATCTGATTCCATCAACAGATGGGCAAGAGAATGAAAGGTGCCTGGCAATCCACAAAATGTAGAAGGAATGGAATTTATAGCATCTGTATATCCCTAATTCATGCTCATATCAGATGGCTGGAAAGGGCTCAACCTAGACAAAGCTAAATGTACAGTTTCGACATTCTGTTCTTTTGCAAAACTCTTAGCATTTTGGATAGAGTGCTTCTGAACATACCCATTGTGATCTTTGGCTCATGGTAGGGCACATTCTTTATGTGCAGATGATCCTGGGCTCAGTTCCCAGCACCTCTAGGTAGGGTTCAAACAGAATCCTCCCTGAAACCTCGGAAAACTGTTGTCAATATCCACAATACTGGGTGGGTTGGACCCATGGCCTGCCTTGGTGTCAAGCAGGTTTCTGTGCTCCTGTCTTTTGCTTTGAGTGCAAAACCTCTCCTGCTCAATGCAGTTCAGAAACAAAGCAGCCTTAACACTGGCTTAGGAGAGCATAGCATTGGAAAAACATCTGAGGGGGCTGCGGTGCATTTGAACCCGATATTATTTATTATCCTGACTTAGCATTTATACCCCATCTTTCTTCCTCTAGTGAGGAACCAACATATATAGGCTCCTCTTGAATACTGTCACTCTAGCCTGATTGCCCTTTCTGCATGTAGAAATGGAGCCAAACACAGGGAGAGAACTGCTGTATTGTACTGACAGTACAATCACGTGCATGTCTTCTGGAAACTAAGCCTTGCTGCTTTTAGTGAGGCTTACACCCAGGTAAGCAGGTAAAGACTTGCAGCTTCTTAGTCCAGAGCTGTAAAGCCCAGGCTCAGGGGCCAAAACTGGCCTGCTGAGATTCTCTTCTACACCCCATGGCAACGGGATGGACTTGGTATTGTGGTGGTTTCCTGTGCTTTCTGAGGTGGGGTACTTTGCCTTCTGTTTTTAAAGGTCAAGATGCCTCTCCTAAGGCTTAATTACAGGCCGGAAGAGTTTTAAGCTGAAATATGCTGATTACTGTTGGTCTCTTCCAGCCACCCCTGCAGTGCAGGCCTTGGAGAACTTCTTCAAAATGCATTGCAGCCCCCAGGCAACCCTCTGCTCTCCTCTTGCATCCTTTTTCCATTATTGAGCAGAAAAATGCTTCTGGGAAACTCACAAGGGCAAGATGGGTGCCATCCTCTCCTGCTGTTCACTCCCCTGCATCTGGCACCTCCTGCCCACATGGAGGCTCCATTTATCATGGCTTATCCCCACTGACAGACCGCTTTCTCCATGAATGTGGAAGTCAACTAAGAGCTGGGAGTTTTAGGCCTTTTTTCTGATTAAACATTATGATAAATGCTGACCATCATCTACACAGTCTGCGGCATCAAATTCCACATGTTAATTTGTTGTTGTATGAAAGAAGCACCTTGTTTTCCTTGTTCTGCTACCAATACATTTCATCAAATTACACTGAGTTCATCTGTTATGAGTAGGAAGACAAGTTCTCTTTGTCCGCTTTCTCCATCCCACACATAATTGTACTAACGTCCATGATAAAGAGAAGGGCATGGCAGAGATGCATGGAATTATGCATGGGACACAGAAAGGTAAAGGTAAAAATTTTCTCCCTTCTGTAATACTAGAACCCAAAGTGTTCCATGAAGCAGAATGCTGGAAGATTCAGGACAGATGAAAGGAAGTCCTTCTTCGTGCCAGTCTAACTTAAGCATTGAATTTATCATCCCACAAGACGGCCCCAACTTGATCAGCTAAAAAAGGCGGTTAGACTTATTGCATGCAGTATAAGGTTATTGGCAGCTGTTAATCGTGATGGCTGTACATTGCCTCTGGGATGAGAGGCAGCATGCCTTGGAATGCCAAGCACTGCCTTCAGGTCCCACTCATGGGCTTCCCGTGGTATCAGACTGGCCCCAGTGGCAAGCAAGGTGAAGGTAGATAAGGCAGCTTTCCCTAACACCGGGACTCAACTCTCCATGATCAGGGATTGTGAGAGCTGTCCCTTGCAGGGCAACAGATTAGGGAAGGCTGATCCCACAGGGCATTTTTCATGCTCTGAAACAACCCAAAGCAGAAACATAGAAACAGAGTGAGTCAGAAGGGGTCTCCCATCTAGTCTGACCCCTGCCTCCAGCTGGCTCCGCTCATGACATGCCCACCATGTGCATGTCCAGCCTATCTTTGAACACCCTTACCGATGGGGCCTCAACGACCTCTCGCGGAAGCCCATTCCATACCCTCGAGGTCCTGACTGTCAGGAAGTGCTTCCTGGCATCCAAATGGAACCTTGGCTCCCTGAGCTTTGCTCCATTGGAGCGCGTCCTGCCTTCCTCTGCAGGGGAGAACAGGTCTCTACCCACCTCCGTGTGACATCCCCTCACATACCTGTATGTTGCCAACATATCCCCTCTGAGTCTCCTCTTCTCCAGGCTGAAGAGACCCAGTTCCCTCACTCTCGTCTCAAATGGCATTCCCTGAAAACCAGCCACCAACCTTGTGGCCCTACGCTGCACTGACTCCAACCTGGCTATAGTTGCAGGTGCACCAGTCATATACAGTTGTAGTAATACCTCTCTCGATCTAGAAGCCACACTTTTGGCTATGCAACCAAGGGTGGTGATCGCCCTCTTGACCACCACATCACACTGCTGACTCATGTTTAGCCTGCAGTCAACCAGCACCCCGAGGTCCCTTTCACAAGTGCTGCTGTCCAGCCACTTGTCCCCTAACCTGTACTTATGACACCCATTCCTATGCCCCAAGTGCAAGACCTTGCACTTATCCACATTGAACGCCATCCTGTTGTCTCCTGCCCACTTTCATAGTCTGTCCAGATCCTTTTGGATCTGGAATACCTGCTCCTTAGTTGTGGCCACTGCCCCGGTTTTAGTATCGTCTGTGAATTTGATCAGCAGACTGTTCACCCCTTCTTCCATGTCATTAATGAAAAGATTAAACAGGATCAGCCCCAGCACAGAGCCCAGGGGGACCCTGCTTGTCACTGGCCGCCATCCTGATGATTCCCCACTAATGGTTACCCTCTGCTTTCAGTCAGTCAACCATGCCCTAATCCATCGGACAGTGCATTGGTCTATCCCAAAACTCCTCAGTTTCTCACCCAGGATATTATGGAGCACTTTGTCAAAGGCCTTGCTGAAATCCAGCTAAACCACATCCAGTGCATCCCCTCCATCTAGCCACCTCAAAACCTTGTCATAGAATTCCACAAGGTTTGTCTGGCAGGACCTGTTACTGCGGAAGACATGTTATGTGGCCGCCAGCCTCCCTTCCCTATCACTAGATCTCTCTCTCTCTCTCTCTCTATTATGAGCCTTTCCATTGTTTCTCCTACAATGGACAGTTGCAAATGCAGAGTAAAGAGTTTGGCTGCCTCTGGCTATTGCGAGACCAGGACATAGGTTGCAGCAGCAAGGAAGCTGAAAAATGAAGGTCTGGGATATTTTTTTACACACATCCCCACAAGAGTCACCCCAGAGCCTATGATGCACAAATATTTGCTGAAGCACAAATGTTTGTCTGTTTTTCCTCCTCCCACCCCACCCCACCCCACCCCACCCCACCCCACCCCACCCCACAAGTCCTCATGCTCACCATCATCTGCAGGTGTGGGGTGAGCAGCTTCAAAGAACAGATCAAATATCCTCTGTGGATTTTGCCTGGGGAGACAAGAATAGTCAGTGGACTTGGAGCGGAATACCAGCTGGCACCAACTAAGCCCCTGGCAAAAACAGTCTTAGAAGCTGTGTGAACTTGGGGGTGTGAGCTTAGAAAACCATAATATCAAACAAAAGGGATGTGTGGTGCCAATAGACCCGGGAATTGAGAACTCTTGCCCTATTGTGGTAGCATTCAGTCCCTATTCCTCAACCTGCTTCACTCTCAGGGCCCACTTCTCAGTTTGTATCGTGCATGTCTGTTTTAATTCCTTTCTCTATCTGCTCAGAAGGTGACACCACCAGTGATCCCAGCATGCTATACCAAAGCCCCTCTTGTGGAATAGGACTCTCCCATTGAAGACAAAAGTTGTTTATTATTTATTGAATTTATGTTGCAGCTATGTGCCAAAAATGGAGATGAAAGTAAAAAAACAGATAAAAAGCATGTGGGATTCTGGGATTTGTAGTCTAACACATCTGGAGGGTTCCAGTTGGGAAAGGAAGGCTGCCTTTTACGATCCCGAGGATGGCCTGGCTGACTGGGGACAGCTGGCAACATTTTGTGGCTGATCCCACTCGTGTGCCAGTTGCCAGCAAAGATGGGGCAAGCTTAGCTGAAGTCACTATTCCTCCCACACTGATGAATGTTTGCCATTTTGTCTTATGAGGGAAAGTTTGGGGACTGCTGGCAGTGGGGTGAGGCGGGCCTGTCTCTCTTAGTGGCCTAGGGGTGAGGTGCTGCCAAGCAGAGTGGCTGAGCTGCATGGGCCAGGGGCCTCACTCGATGCAATTTATTTTTTATTGCATGTATATCCCAGCTGTCATCTTAAGAGCTCAGGGTGGTGTGCATGCTTCTCTGCTCCCTATTCTATCCTCACAACATAGAAATGTTCTAATAAATAAATAAATAAACAGCCCTGTGAGGTAGATTATCTTCAGAGCTGGTCACTGAGGGAAGCCCTTGACTGAATGGGGATTTGAACATGGGTCTGCCTGGGCCCAGTCTGACTCTCTAAGCTCTGTGCACATGCGTTCCACAGAGTTCCCTACATTCCTAGCAAGCCACCCGCACCCCCTGGTAGTGCTTCTGCACCAAGAAGGCCTGCCCTCGGCCCCTGCACTCGGCTAATCATGGCGACAGGCCCTGGTGCCCTGTGGGAAGCGCCTTGGCCTCCCTGGGGCCCTGGACTGACTCAGCAAACACTCCTCTACGCAGCAAAGAAGGGCGAAGTGTGGGGCAGGGCTATCCCGCTGCACACACAGCAAGATTGCCACACTCAGCAATTCAGTTGCTTGGAGGAGCAAAATGCCCCCTCTTTCCATCGGGGCAGAGAGCCGGAATAGGTTTCGGCACTGCCCGCTTCAAAACGAAGGCAAGTAAACATGGCCAGTCTACCCAGACAGGGTGGCCCCACCATGCAGCTCACAGATCCCAGCCCAAGGTCTTACTTGATCCGGGACCCCATCGTCCTTGGCTCATTCCATCCCAATTGTCATCCTGCTGAAGCAGCGACGGGGACCACTGTTCCTCCCATCAAGGCAAGAGGACTGCAGCCCTTAATATACAAAACCTCTCAAGAGCTCTGCTTTTCAAAAAGCGGTGTTTCCTTTTGCGGCTTTTGGTAGAGGAAGTATGAAGCTTGCGACTGACTGCCTTCGCTCACAGGCAGGGTGGGAGCTGTAGGCTGGGGGTGGGGAGGCTTGCAGGAGTGCTGGCTATTGGAGTGGTCCCTTTCTGTGGTTTGCTGTGTCCGCCAGGCCACCTGAAACTTCCGTTAAGGTCACAGCAGATTCTGGAAGCTAAGCAAAGCTTGGGATATGGAAAATTACTTTCTCTTGGGGTTTTTGCAGAGCTGAAGACGGTAGCATGATGGCTTATATAGCTGGTGGCTACTAGCTAATGCACACCATGTATGTGTGTGTGAGTGAGAGAGAGGGGTAGAGGAGGAGGAAGAGGAAGAGGAGGAGAAGCACATAACTGTTCCAGTGTAGCCCACAAAGGAGAAGGAAGTCCGATTCTTTGCAGCAGGGTGACAGCAGTCAAGAAGGGTGGGTTGGACTTATGTGCCTCTGCACTTGAAGAACTCATGCAAAGTTTTGCATTGCCTGTCTGTCCTTCCCCTCAACATGTCAGTTTGCATTTTTTTAAATTAAAAATGCCATTAATCTTCATTACTTTCTTCTTTTAAGTAAAAAATTCAGCAACAGCTGTTCCCAGAACTTAAAATAAATAGGAAGAATGTGCAAACAGGCCTGGTTTTGCAGCTCTTTGTAGCTTGGAGAGTGTATATTTAGCAGAAATATGCTTATTTTTCTCCCCCGTGTTATCTTGGAAAGGGGACCTGTGTGCCAGTGCTTGGCAAAGCAGCACTGCTTTGGGGGAGCCCTGAGCTACTGCAGCCCATGGGCACGAGTTGGTGCACGAGCTCCATGGGGGAAGTCAGGTCATGGGAACTGTGACTGGATGTCTGGACAAAATCTGAGGCAGGCTGTTAAGGAACTGCCCAGTGTGATGAAAGAAGCAAATTAGCCTGCTTCTCACTGAGGTGATTAACTTGCGCCAGACTGCACTTAGGGGCTCACATAATGGGATGCCCCTTCATGTAGGAAATTCCCTGTACACTGAAAACTGGCATGTCAGGGGAAAAGTTTCCTGACTAGCCCTTTCACTGATATGGTGGATTTTTACAGAGATAACGTTTGCTTGCTTGTGTGCTTGTTTAACTTGGGTATATTTTATTACGTAAGCAGCCACTTGTGGTCTGGAGTGCCACACTCAGGTTAGCTACTTTAGTGAGCACTAGACCAGAAGATGGGGGCTAGAAAGTAATCCAGTGCAAAGCAGGGCTCCGAGCCAGGACTTGACCCTCCCTTGGTGTAATTCCCTCACAAACCAGTCCATGCCATCTTGAGCCCAGTGTGCCATAAGCAGAGGGCAGCAGTAACGAAGTTGCCCACACAGCCAATACCGTGGGGGTGAGCAGCTTGTGACCTTCTGGAAGTTTGCACCCACCGCTTGCATCATCCTTTGCCACTTGCTATGCTCACTATGGTGGATGCCAGTCCAGACCAGAACCCCTGGGTGTGTGTGGGGGGGACAAGTTGCTCTCTCATGCAATAAAACACTTTCTTCACACTTGAAGGGCTGAAAAAAGTAGTGTTGTTATGTAGACTAGTGTTCACTTAAACAGATGCATGAAGTATTACCTTCTGATGGCAAATACATGCACAGGGTTGGAGTTGTGTGGGAATTGTAAGCACGGAGGTCAGAGGGAAATGAAAGGCAAGAAGTGCAGAAAGTGACTGCACAACAGAACAGCCTAAAATAGGTTCAGTGTGGGTTGTTGCTGAACTGTGGGCTACCTGGGGGGGGGGGGCAGTGGCTGCCCTCCACTTCTCCTACCCACGCTATTGCCAATGGCGGCAGAGTGGGATTGGTCATGAGCATGGGGGAGGGAAAGTGGGGTAGTGGGCAAGAAGGGCATTGGAGCCCAGTGCAAGAGATCACTTTCCCTCCACACCACCGCTGAACAGCAGGGAAGGGGGCTAAGTGCTGAGCGCTGATGCACAGAAGTGCCCCCTTCCCAGCCCAGCACACAAGCAGGAGTCAGGCTGGGGGAGGCGGTACAATTCTGCAGGAGGGGTCACATTCAGCCCAGACTACCTGGGAGGAGGCTTGGCCAAAACATTACCCTGGCCCACAACCCCCCCCCCGGGGGCTTGGTCTTCAGCTGACATGCTAAGCCAGGGAAGGTTTTTGAAACCCTACAACAGGCCAGGACCTCTTGGGGCAATTTCTAAGCCATTCCAGGGTGGATATGTCATGTGAATCTAGTTACTGTGATTCAGAATTCCTTGAATATCTGCAAAATAAGTACTATGACCTTTCACAAAAGTAGTGATAGGTGATAATGTGATCAGCCTAGGAATGCTGACTTAATTAACATTTACAATAAGACAGGAAGGCAGGGTGGATTATCTATTTTCAGATCCAAATTGCCTTAAGCAAGTGCTTGAGTGGGGCTGTGTGACTAGGGAAATCCCAGGGGTGCACTGCCCCACCTGGAATTTCAACTTGTACCTCCAAATCATGTTCTGGGGGGAAAGTTGTTTAAATTATGTGACATGGCTTCCATTGAAAGAATGAGAACAGGACTGTGTGCAAGGCTGAATCCCATTTCAGAAAGCTGTTATTTAAGTCATGCATTCATATTAAGTGAGTGAAAGCTGCTGAACTTAAAATACATTCTGATTCATCACACATTTTCTGGTGCTAAGAATTCATAGACACTAAAATACACATAGACCCTTGGGCTTGCCAATAAGCAGTTTCTGTTGATTATCAGGAAAAAGATATACCCCCACTCCCTGCCAAAGATCTGCTTTGGTGCAAATGAAATTAGTAGTCACCAAAGATAGCATTTTCTCCAGGACTATGAAGATTAGGCACATGTGATCTAAGCAGTGAGAACTCTGTGCTCTAAAAGAGCATTCAGTGCCTTCTAGGCCATACATGTCCTCCCCTCCCCCAACACCTCAATTTGAATTATCTTCTGGATCATAGACTTGGGGGAAAGGGGTTGGCTTTGCCCTGGGGAAAACTTTCTATACCCATTTCCTCAAATTTAGGCTCTCATCAATTGCTCTTCTTAATTGTAAAGGGGGAAACATGCAGGCAATCTTCCATAATCCAATTCCTCTGTAAGGGATAAACCTACTGTCAGCTTTCTGGTCAATGAGCATGAAGGTATTGGGATAACTGGCAAGCACTAGCCACTTTTTAAAAATGACACAGAATTAAATGTTACTCTATTGATATTCAATACAAATAGAAAACATCAGACATATTAAATTTCCTGTATTTAAACTTTATTTATTTTATTTATTTTTATTTATTTTTCGATTTATATCCTGCCTTTTTCCTACAAAGGGCTCGAGGCAGCTTACATCTCCCCCTCCATCTTATCCCCACAAAAACAACCCTGTGAGGTAGGTTGGGCTGCGAGTCTGTGACTGGCCCAAAGTCACCCAGTTGGCTCCATGGCTGAGTGGGGACTAGAACCCAGATCATCTGAGTCCCAGTCCCATGCTTTTTAACCACTACACCACACTGACTTTGGTTGTTTTGCATGGATTCTACCCCCCCCCCCCGCCCCACACACACACACACACTTGTGTACTATTGTACTCTTCCACTACCACAGTTCTAGCTGTGGGCCTGATGGTCCAAATGTCAAGGTACTTCCTTGTGTTCAAACCCCAAATCCCCTCCAGGAAAATGTTGAGCCAGTCTTTCCAAAATTCTCACTTAGAACTAGAAATGAACAGCCTAATATATCCATGAAACCACCCAAAGCTTTGGGTAAAATAATTTTACATGAAATTGGCTGCACAGTTCTGAGCAGGCTACCATGTGCTACCTGCTCTGCCGTCTCTCATTTTTTTACCCTGCGCCTGCCGCCTCAGATCCTCAGCCTCTGGAGGGGGGGTGGCAACCACTTCCTTCCTGTGGCCACCTGTGCTGAGTGCTGGAGACTGTGCTGCAGAGGAGGTGAGGCCTTTATGCAGAGGGCTCTCCTGGCCTACTGGGTGTCTCCACCATTTTCCCCCTGTGGTGGAGGTGGCTTTGTGGGAATCCTTGGGCATGGGAAAATCAACTCAAAATGAGTAGCTATGTGCCTCAGGGTGCCCCAGAGGTGGCGTGGTGAGAATGAGCTGCAAGAGCAGAGTGTCTTAAAATGTGTGTCACTGCTACAATGCGAGGAGCAGCAGCTCTTCAAAATAAATGGAGCATCACAAACCAGTCAAATGGCAGCTGTGAGAGACATCCCTGCATGGAAACTCAGTCATGGAGGGTTTGGCGTGATGCAATAAAGAACTAGCTATACATGTCATGGTAACTGTGGTAACTTTCTCCTCAGAGCTCTGCTTATTTGGGCAGAACACCCAGGGATGACCCAGGAAGCTCATCAGAGAAACATAGAAACAGAGTGAGTCAGAAGGGGCCTCCCAGGCCATCTAGTCTGACCCCCAGCTCCATTCATGACGTGCCTTATCATCTTGTGGGGCTGTGGGGATCTTCAGTTGCATTGCCAGAACCCTTGCACACTGCAGTAGGGCTTCTGCGAGACACATGGCCACACTGGATTGCTTCTTCACCTTAGTGTGTGTGTGTGTGGGGGGTGGGCAGGCACCACAGGGCTATTCTGCCTCATGCACCAAAGCATCCACCTTGCCTTGTGTGTGTCCAGTCTGTCTCCTGCCGCCCAAAGCTGAGCTGTTGTTGCACTGGGAACACGAGCAAACCCAAGAACAGCACAGGTGGCACACAGCCTCCTCTTGCAGACCCACACAAAGGAGCACATTGTGACGCTGGAACTTTTCCATGGAGTGGCTGAATTGTGATGCACAGAGAAAGCTGGCACCAGCTCTGGGCAAGGGGAGGGCAAAGCCAGTGTAAAAGAACCCTTTTGAGATAGAGACAACAGTGTTCCTGAGGCAGCACAGTGTGGAGGATTAGAAGGGAAATGAACCAGTTGGCTTAGGAAAAGGCAGTCCAGCAGGTCTGTCCAGGTAGAAGCTGCTAACAAAACGTCAGGGCTGCCAGTGGCTGGCTCCAAGTCCTCTGGGCCCTTGAAACAATGGCTTGATAAGGAGGCATCCAGCTCTCATGCAATTCCCTCCAAGATATAAACGAATCTTCTCCCTGCCAGGGCACCTATTAAAGACCCCCAAGGGAAGGGAGGTGGTGGAGAGGATGTTTAGGTTGGGTTCTTCACCTGTGGTTTGGGCAATTCAGCTTAAGGAGGGCACAGTTTTCTGTCTGTGGCAGAGATTTATTGATTTAGATCTCCAGTATTTGAGAGTGGCAGCTGACAAATCTGGTTCCCCATTGCTTCTCAGGAGTCTTCTAAAATAACCGCTAGAACTTTGGATGTGCACACACTGATTGCTTCTCAGCGCAGGACAGCATTCATGCTTGCTTGTTTTGGCATGTTGCCCCCCGCCCTTTTGTGGACAGGTAAGATCCGATTAGCCACTGTCCATGCTGTGCAGAATGGTTGTGGCGGAGCTTGTCACTCTTATACTGTAGGCTGTACAGGGACTGCTGAGAAGAGCCAGTTCTCCCAATTAAGCTTTGGCCATTGGGCAGGATAGGAATGAAGAGGATGAAGTGGACAAGGACCTCTCCGAGGGGATTTTCTGAAGGGCTGCTGGTGTTTTGCCCAAAGGGTGACTCACCAGTGACTGAGAAGGCTGCCACTTTCTTTCTCATTGGGAAAATAGGGAAATCATGGGAAAATAGGCTGCCCTAATACATTTCAAAATGCATGGTTTTGATCAAGCTACTCTCTATCACCTGTATATTTCATTTGTGTATAAACATGTATAGGTCGATGACTATAATAAACCATTTGAACCTATTAAAACCAACCACACCCTTCCAAGGGAGCTTTTGGGCATGCCTCAGGTTTCATCCAGCCCCTTTCAGGGCTGGGTTGTGCCCAGCTGCAATATTATTTATTACTGCATTTCTATTCCACCATGCTTCCAAGGCAGTGCACATATTCTGCTTCTAGTTCATCCTCACAGAAACCCTGTGGGGTAGGTCAGGCTGAAAGTACCACTGGCCCAAGGTCACTCAGTGAGCTTCACGGCTGACTTGGACTTGAGCTGTGGTCATGTCAGCCCTAGGCCACCAATGAAGCTATGTGAGTGAAAGCAAGAGGGCCTTGATGAAAGTGAATAAGGACTGAGTCATTATATCTACATAGCTGCAGCCTAGGTCTTGTTTCTTAGTCATGCGGGGGCAGAAGCAATTACACAGGTTCTATGCATAGATGGTGTTTATGAGACATGAAAACAGAGAACATCTTGGGCACAGGCCTGGAGAAACCACAGCTCTGTACACACGACATCCCAGGAACTCCAAGGACAGGACTACTGCAAATCAGAGTAGACAGTATTGAGCTGGATGGACCAATGGGTGAAGTACAAGGCAGCTTTGTGTGTTTGTACTGCATTACTGGCATCAATATGGCAATCCCTTATCTTTGGCACAGAAACACTAGATTTCTGAGTTTCCCTTTTTCAAAACGGCAGTGACCACAGCAGGTTGTTGTTGATATTGATTATCCCACTTATTCTCAGAGACTGGTACTCTAGGTGGCCCACATTATTAAAATTCATACACTTTAGACAATTAACCTACGTGTGTATTAAAACATACTTTTAAAAAAGGCAACAGTGTGATGCATGGGAGCTATGGCATCTTGTGGGAAGCTGGCACAAGCTAACCCCATCCTTTTATCTTTTGTATAGAACAAATCAGTTTTGCATAGCTTCTAATGAAACAGGGTTGAGAAGGAGTGCAGTGACCCAAGCTGCCTGATCACAGCCCTCTGCTTTCCTGTCTCTGGTGGATCCATCACAAAGACCAGCCATGGGAAGCTGTGTTCTGCTCCCTTGCAAGGACACTGTGCCTAAATCAGTCAACAAATCAAGGTTTTCCACACAGACAGAGGTGTTCTTCCTGAGAAAGAGGGCATGTGCGTGCAAACCTGCAGGATTCCTCCTGCCCCAGTTCCGCTGCTCATGGATTATGGTACATTGCTTAAGGCTAGATCCTTGTTTGCCCTAATTAGAGTTGACCCATTGGCATGAACATGATTTAAGTCTAGCCTAACATTGAATACAACCCTTAAGCTTCTGCATCCCAATTTCAGGAGCCCAACTTCCAAATGGTATGCTTACAAAGTAAAAAACTTCCTTTGATTTTAAAAATGGAGCAGATTCTCTGGAAATGAAATTGTGCAGGAAATCTCCCAGGAAATGCAGGTTCAGACACACCCTGCCCAGGATGCAATGATCAATGTGTCACCGCATCTTCTTAACAAACAGTTCCATCAGGCTCCAGGATTGACAGTAATGAATGGAGAGTGCTGAAGGGTATTGTTAGCATAATTACCAACTGAGAGCTGCACCATGTAACTCAGATAGGACAAGTAGACAGATAGGATGAACAAGGAAGGGAGCCTGTTCTACTCCCTGAACCCGTTTGCCTCACACCCTATTGGTTGAGCCAGCCTCCTTTTACTGGAGTACATCCCCACCCCCACAGGGACACCTGCGTGAAATGGAACCATCAATTATCCTCCAAGTGACAGAACAAGGTCACTAGGCTGCTTGCTTCCTAGCAACACGACTGGGCTTCTCTCACCTTTGCACCCTTCATGGGTCCCTCCTTTAGCCAGGCGCTCCTCCTCACTTACCTGCTTGGTTGCCAGGCAGAAAGCCCACCAGCAGGTGCCTACAGCGATGTTCCTTCTCACCACCACTATCTGGGGCCAGAGCAAGGGCCAGGGAGCTCTTGGTCGGGGGCTCGCGATGCTGCTGCCCCTTGCCAAGTGCTGAATCGTGCCAAGTCTTGCCACTGCCCATGCCTTAGATCACATCCCTGTTCTTGCTCTTGCACAGCTGGGACATACCCACATTTGAAACTGGCAAGCTCATGTGCTGCTTGACCTTAAGAGAAAGAACAAGATTCTTATCAATGTCTGATTGTTTCTCCCTCATCGGTTCCCAGGGAGACTCAAGCCTCAAGACTGAGACATGTATATGAGCCGAAGCACAACAGAGGTGGCACCTTAGGGCGGAGGCCAGGAAGTACTTCCTGATGGTTAGGACTCCTAGGGTATGGAATGGGCTTCCATGGGAGGTGGTCGAAGCCCCAGTGGTGAGGGTGCTTAAGGATAGGCTGGACATGCACATGGTAGGCATATCATGAGTGGAGCCGGCTGGAGCCAGGGTCAGACTAGATGGCCCAGGAGACCCCTTTGTGATTCACTCTGTTTCTATGTGTGTAATCAGCCAGTGGCTGACCTATAGATTTGCAGTCTTAACTTGAGCAAAAGGAGTCGACAAAGCCAAGGTGGTGTCAGAGGGTAACCCATGGGCTGGAGGCCAAAATCTTTAAGAGCACTGAATCTCTGGGAGGACACCAGCATCCACCATGCTGCTGTCCGTGGGCACTTGGTAAAAGAGATTCAAGGACTCAGATTAATTCTGTTGCACCTGATCCACCTGCCACTGCACACCCTTAGACCTTTTTGCCTGAGATTTTTTCCTGAAATCAATTTCCCTCCTTTCCCCTGGGCTTACATCTTTTTTTATAAGGAGGGTTGCCCTTTGGAGATAAGGTCCTTTAAACAAAGACACACACACACACACCTTTTCTTTCTCGAGAGCAGGTGTAGATTAGCAGATGTACATTTGTGCATTTCTTTTTGTCCTGTGGGCCTTGGTACCTAGCACCACCCCGGGCAAAAGCCAGCCTATGCATCCATCCCGGCTGGCTCTGCTTCATACTAGGCTTACACCACGGCTCTGCTGAATCATGTGCACACCTCCTTGAGGCTTGATCAAGGTGCAGCAGTGGCACTGGAACTTTACGGAAGCACTGCATGAGTCCTGCGTCTCTGATGCTTGTGACTCACTGCTTTCCCACTTACTGCAAGTGCCCTGCCTTAAATCCATCTGTACAAAACTAAGATACCCCCACCTTACATGTAACAAGACAAAATAGTATTAAGGATGCCAAGCATGCTTCCATTCCAGTTATGGCAAGAAGGAAATTTTAAAATCGATCATTTCAGCAGTTTCAAGAATGCCTGAATGGGTTCCTTCCAGCACACACAAATAGTTGCTCAGTTCAAGCTTCCCCAAACTTGTGCCCTTCAGATGCTGGACTTCAGCTCCACTCTGCCCCAGCCAGCAGAGGCAGAGACCAGGAATGCTGGGGACAATTGTCCAGCCTTCCCAAACCTGGAAAGCACTAGGTTTGGGAAGGTGAAAGGCCCTTTTAGTGAAGGGCTCCTTCCTTGTATTTAGTACCAAAATGTTTTGAGAATTGGCACCAAGTAAAAGGGGAAAGAGAAAAAGAACTGGGTTCTATGCCATGCCGATGGTCCTGGGTTCCTGCAACTCAAATCTGGCCCCAGTGGATTAGTCTTGCTTTTAAGGAGGATTAAAAAGACAAGCTCAGAAAGCAAGGTTAGCCTGTATCCATTATTCAGTAGTTTATTGTGGAGACATATAACTGCTTTGACAGCAAACACACTAAAAAGGGGGACCACTTTTCAGCCTAAAAGACAGAGCCCCATTCCCCCTCAAACCAACCCCCCTCAAGTTCCATTAATCTTTTCTTTAAGCCCAGCATGGATGAAAACAAAAAAACAAAATGCAAAAACAAATGCAGGTTACAAGTTAGTGCATACTCATCTCTGAAAACAAACAAAAATAACACACATGACCATACACAGAACACTTAAGGACGGACAGACATCGCCGCAGGAGGGGAGATGCACTGAAGCATGGGCAGAGAGGAAAGAAAAGGGGGTGGTGTGGGTTGGTAAGATGAGAACATGTATTGGTGGTGCTTGTAGCAAGACTTACTACCCCCGCCGCCACTCCTGAACGGGACCCTGAAGCCTGCCAGACCATGCCGCCCCAGCAGTCCTCCATGCATCATTCCGGCTTGTGGAGTGTGGGGTGGGCAGGCGGAAGGGCTCAGAACACTCCACTCGTTAGGTTGGCCTAGAATGTTCAAGCCTATGCCAGCGCAGGCAAGATGGTCCATTGGTTCAGGAGACTGGTGGGAACAAGGAAGAGTCATGGGGAGAGGGGGAGAGAAAGAACAAACGAACGAACGAGGAGCTCCTCATGCTACTTCTTCCTCTGCCTCCTCCTCAAACTCCCCTTCTTCAGCAGTGGCATCTTGGTACTGCTGGTACTCTGAGACCAGGTCGTTCATGTTACTTTCAGCCTCTGTGAACTCCATCTCATCCATGCCTTCCCCTGTGTACCAGTGGAGGAAGGCCTTGCGGCGGAACATGGCGGTGAACTGCTCAGAGATGCGCTTGAAGAGCTCCTGGATGGCTGTGCTGTTGCCGATGAAGGTGGCTGCCATTTTGAGGCCACGGGGTGGGATGTCACATACAGCTGTCTTGACGTTGTTAGGGATCCACTCCACAAAGTAGCTACTGTTCTTGTTCTGCACATTCAGCATCTGCTCATCCACCTCCTTCATGGACATCCTCCCTCGGAAGACGGCTGCAACTGTCAGGTAGCGCCCGTGACGGGGGTCGCAGGCTGCCATCATGTTCTTGGCATCAAACATCTGCTGCGTTAGCTCCGGCACAGTCAAGGCTCGGTACTGCTGGCTGCCACGGCTGGTCAGAGGAGCAAAGCCAGGCATGAAGAAGTGGAGGCGAGGGAAGGGCACCATGTTAACAGCCAGCTTGCGGAGGTCGGCATTGAGTTGCCCAGGGAAACGGAGGCAGGTAGTCACACCACTCATGGTGGCAGAGACCAGGTGGTTGAGGTCCCCGTAGGTGGGAGTGGTGAGCTTGAGGGTTCGGAAGCATATGTCATACAGAGCCTCGTTATCAATGCAGTAAGTTTCGTCTGTGTTCTCTACCAGCTGGTGCACCGAGAGAGTGGCATTGTATGGTTCCACCACTGTGTCAGAGACCTTGGGCGATGGCACAACACTGAAGGTATTCATGATGCGGTCAGGGTATTCCTCCCGGATCTTGCTGATCAGCAGGGTCCCCATCCCTGAACCGGTGCCGCCGCCGAGAGAGTGGGTGAGCTGAAAGCCCTGGAGACAGTCACAGCTCTCTGCTTCCTTCCTGACCACATCTAGGACGGAGTCCACCAGCTCAGCTCCTTCTGTGTAATGCCCTTTGGCCCAGTTGTTCCCGGCACCACTTTGACCTGAACAGCAAAGCAAGAGTTTGGGGATGGGGTGCGGGGGAGGGATCACAGAGGTTTGGTTCATTGTGGGCCTTTTGCAACTGCACATTCAGTCCCACCGCTCCCTGCTGCTTTTCTCAGTTTTAGACGTTCTCTTAAAGCAGCCCCTCCCCACCTGGCAGCAGAGGGCCAATGCCAGTGGGTTGGCGCACCCATTCTGGACACCAGCCTGAACTTGAGAAGAGCTATCCATGACGCTGGAACTATTGTGGGTCTGGGGCTTAGCACTGTGGACGCCTTCTTTCAAGTTCAGACTGGTGCCCAGCATAGGGACACTGTCCCACTGTCGCTGGAGCCAGAAGTCTCCAGTGCCACCCGAGGCTCTCCAGGTCTGTTGGATTGCAACTCCCATCATTAACAGCTGAGTTGGGCGGCTCCTTCCCACACTGCACACTGTCCTGAAGTGCACGTCCCAGCCAAGCATGCAGCACTGAGCTTGCCATTCTTCCCTAAATGGAAAGGGGAACAGGATGCTGAGTAAGGAGAAACCCCTTGATATTGTAACTTCTCTTGCCAGAGGGACTCGCTAACTGAAAGTTCTTGCCATAAATATGGGCGAAGAGCTTGTGGCTGTCCAGATGTTGTTGGACAGCAGCTCCTGGCAGCCCTAATCCACACGGGCGGGAAGGATGATGTCCAACAAACATCTGGAAAAGGAGGCATGTGGTGCGGCCCTCATTTGCATGTCCCTGGAAATGTAGCTGAGGATGGAGGCCCCTCTTCACAGCGAACAAAACGTTTCGCAAGACATCTCCTGTCAATGTCAGGTCACACACTGGAAGCCTCAATAGAAGGCAGTGTTCAGTGCTTTCAAACCCCTTCCCTACAGGAGAAAGGCTTTGTGTAGCAGATTCAGCCATGATAAGGCTTCTAAGTCATCAAGTTTTTTGCTTTATGCTGCTTTGGAAAAACACAGGTGACCTCTGTGAAAGGCTCCCGCATTCAGGGTGCGGTGCTTTCATGTGCAGCATGAACAACTGCTCCTTCTGCCTCCTACCGTTTACTCATGCAATGGTGAATTGCTTTCTTGCAAAGGACAACAGGTTTCAGAAGGCCCTGTGCTGACGCGGAATTATGCATACAATGCCTTCTTATTGCAAGAGAATTTTCCTCTTGAGTAATCTCTTTGCCTGGGTGCAGTGATCTGAAGTGCCAGCACCCCACACCCCAGAGTTGCAGAGTCTGAATGTGGGACAAAGACATGCAGTTAACATGATCTCTGCGGAACTAGCCGGGACCTATGACCACAAAAAAGCTGGCTTCCTGCATTATAGGATCTCACCACTATACCTCAACCTGACAGACCCTAAAATGTTCCGTTCCAGAAGACTTCATCTCGCTCTCCACACCCCCACACCAGCCCCAGCCCCCTTCCCACCACTGCAAACCCAGTCATGCTGCAAACTCTGCAGGGATAGTTATCAGAGGTGGGTGGTTTATTGCTCACACCTTCCCTCACCCCAACCAGCGCACCCCACATGTTGCCAGTGCTGGGGCTTGGGGAATCCGCAAAAGTCCAGAGAGGGCCAAGAGAGGTTGCTGCCTTATTCCATCATCTCTTCCTCCAGGTACCCCTGTAGGGTGAGCGTGGCTTTATACAAGAGCTGCTTTGGTGGATTGCATGCTGAATCTAAGAGCTGCAGTTCTTAAACTTGGGGGCAAAGCAAATAGTAAGGTCACTTCTCCTAGCATAGGGCTCATCATCTGATACAACAGTGTTCAAGGTCTCCCAGATTTTGCTGCCCCAAAGCAATCTGCACTTGAGAAAACTGCTACAGCAGCCCCTGCCAGATGGAGGCCAGATGTGGCTTCCCAGGTGCATTGAATGAAACCTCCATAAGCATTCAGCCAGGTTTATGGGAGCTGTTGCCCAACACCTCTGGAGGGGCGCCAGGTTGAGGGAGGCCTGCTGCACAATAGGGCCAGAGCATTCAGCTTCTTTTGGTGGCCAAATCCTGAAGCTTTCAGGGCCAGGCACATTCCCAGGCTCCACTGGTCCTGCTGGGAGGACCTTGAGCTTCATTTGGAATTCCATATTGCGTGGGGTGGAGGCAGTCCTGTCCTGAGCATCAAGGAAGATTAGATGTCCCAAAAATATAACATGAAGGGCACCACCTGGAAGCCACTGCAGCTCATCAGGTACTCTTGCAGCCCACTGTGAACCCTTGGAAAGCACTTGAGCTTTTGTGGGTGCAAGCATAGGCATGTTAGGTGGTGTAAGATAGGATTACACTCTTCAGTTTCATATATGCTTCTGAGTGAGCAGCATATATACTCCTTCCTTGTAAATGTCCTGGAAGGCAGGCTACACAGAAGATCTTAAAACTGTCCCTTGCCCCTCATTTCCAAGCAGAGATTAAAATCTGATCCCCAGTCCAAGCTGGACATGGTATCTCTTAAATGACCAGTTAGCAATTTTTTAAAAAATCTTGTGTACTTGGGTTAGAGCTGATTCATCTCCTCAAAAACTGGAAAGCCTCAGGTCTAAGGCAGTGTGTTAAAGGACACACATGTGCACATACAGAGACATACATGAAACTTTCTGAGCACCTTCTAGTTTCTTACCAAAGACGAAGTTATCAGGCCTGAAGATCTGTCCAAAAGGTCCAGACCTGACAGAATCCATGGTGCCAGGTTCCAGATCAACCAAGACAGCTCTGGGCACATACTTGCCACCTATGGGGAGAAAAAGAACTCTTATGGAGCTGGTTCGAAATAATCCACCTGGTAGCAACAGTCCCCTCCTCCAAGAGATCCCTCCAGCATTTGCCCAGACTAGTGCATGGCTGAGCAAATCGGCTGGTTCAAAGGGGAGAACAAGTTCAGAACTGCCTCCGCTTCCGTGAGCATTTGCATCAAGCGCAGGCAACTCAATGCCCTCTAGATGTTTTGGGCTACATCCCCCATCATCTCAAACTATCACAGGGTGATGAGAGTTATAACCCAAAACATACGGAGGGCCCCAGAATGCCCATCCCCAATAGACACCCTGTCTGCCCTCAGCATTGCTGAGAGCACCCACAGCCTGGAAGCTTTCAGGACTCCTGCAGGACAGCTGCACCGTGCGGTGCCTTCAGACCATCCCCGGGGCTCTTTGCAAAGATGAGATGCTTCGGCAATAGGCTGCTTGCCATCATCACCTCCCTGACAGCAGCCATGAGAGATGGCGGGGGGCTGCCACAGGCTGTTCTATCCAGGGTTCACGGAAAGGTCTCTCGGCACAACCCCATCCAAGGGACAGGTCACGTGGGCAGCTGCTCGTTCCATGAGCCGGTCGATGACACCACCATTATTGATTCCTTTGCTTCCAGCATGTCTCCTGCACCCACAGCCCTTACTCTGATCTGCACTGGATACACGGGGATGGGCTGGTCAGGGACTAGACTGACAGGGAAGGAATAGACTACAGGCCGGAGGGGCAGGAAGACAGGAGGTGGCAGACTGTGGCAAGGCCATAGTGGAGACCAGTGGAGAAGGACTCTTAGCCCTCCCCAGCATGGTATTCTGCAGATAGTTTGGATGACCACTCATGCTGGCTGAGACCCAAAACATCTAGAGGCCACCAAGCTGGGCAATGAACTACATCAGTTGGACTGCAGCCCAGTCACAAACTGAACACTGTTGTAGCACAGTGCCAGCCAAGCAGGGGAAAGCACCGCAGGATCCTCACTCCTTGTACCTGCACACTGCAGCCCTGTCCTAATCCGCTCAATAACCGAGAGAGCTCCAACAGCCAGTGCAGCGTAGAGGCTGGAGTGTGGGCCCGAGTCGCAGGCTCCAGCCCCCACTTGGCCTTGATGCTCACTTGGGTGACTCTGGGCCAGTCACTCCCTCTCAGCCTGGCCTGCTCCACAGGGGTGCGGGGAGGATAAAGTGGTTATACGCACTGCCTGGGGTTCCGTTTTTGGAGGAAAAAAGACAGTGTATCAACCTAATAAATAAGTATTTGGTGGCTCAGAAATGTAATAAAGGACTGGCGAGTTCCTGCTTATTTTTGCCCTTGGTGGGAAAAGCATTCTTGGCCCAAAGGAAGAGTGGTGAAGACACTGTGGAGAAGAGAAGGCAGCTGACCAGAGAGGCCTCTGGACAGCACAGCATGAGAAAAGAGAGACCACCTTCAAGCCCTGGAGACAAACCGCTCCAAAGTGGGAACAAACCTGAGGCCTCGTTGTAGTAGACGTTGATCCTCTCCAGCTGCAAGTCACTGTCCCCGTGGTAGGTGCCAGTGGGGTCTATACCGTGCTCATCGCTGATGACTTCCCAGAACTGTAGGAGGTGTCAGGGAGGACAAAGCATCAGTGGCAGCCACATGTCTGAGCCCTCCCAAAAGCTGCATCCAGCACGGCCTCATGTGAAACAAGCAAGCGCTTTCACTTGCTTGTGTGCGCATGTGTGTCGTTTGCATGTTTCCACCGGGCAAGAGGAGGGGCACTTCTCAGTGGAATGTCCTCCCATGTTAGCATGAAGGGGCCGTGCAGGTTTCCTGCTTCAGAGGCATCAAACACATGAGACCTTGCCCTCCGTCAGGCTCTCGGGCTGGCTACCCTGGCAAGGGGAGGCTTTTCTTCATGGCAGCCGGCACTCTCTGTCCCGCAATGCCTGTGGCAGGGCAGAACCATGAACTGCGATACCACCGAGGGGTGAGACCGGGACAAAGGCACAACCCAGCGGTGCAGTTTAGTACCAGACCTCCAGGGAATGCCCCTGTGCACGCTTGTCCTCTATGGACGGCTCCTCCCTGCACCTATGAGGGAGAATGCCCAGCAAGACGTTCATCTGACACCAATGCCAATCCAGCTCTCCTGTATTATCAGGGTCAGTCCTATTATCAGGCAAAATGGGGAGGCTGCCTCAAGCAGCAGATGCTGGGGGGCAGAACGCACTTGGCCTCTGTGTGTGGCCTGCAGGGGGTCTTGTATCCATTGCCTCAGCCAGGAAAATGACTTGGGCGGGTCCTGTGTCTGGTACTCATTTGTCTTACACATTCTCACTGAGACACAGGATTTCTGTATGAGTACCTGGTGGGTCAGTTCATACAGGGCAGTGGTCTGTCTAGAATGCCTTCCTCTTAACAGCCAAGCACACATGCTAATGCTTGAAGGGGACACGTGGCAAGAAAAAGAAAGCTGTGGCAAAGTGAACTGCCCACTGTCATTTGCTACTAGGGACCTTCTCAGTGAGGAACCCCAAATATAATTCTGAAGCAAGCAGTCAGGCTTTCTAGAATACAGTTTGAGGAACACCAACTTACTGAATTTCTCCAGTTACCAAGGGTAAAAACAGGAAAGAGCAAAGGCAAGCCAGTGTGAAGAGCAGCAGCAGCCCTGATGGAATCGTGCTTATAGAGGGAAGACTATATAGACTCCAATCTATATAGACTCCAATGCAAGACTCCAGTCTGGTATTTATTTCACAGATCACTGCATTCTCCATACCAGAGACTGCTTTCCAAGTCACAGAAGCCACTTCATTTACAGTGCTCTCCACAAAATACTCCAAGGGAGACCATTCTTAGATTAGTTCCCCCACCTGCAAATTGTCTCCACCCACAAGCATTCTGCAAAGAGGTTCAGGCCCACTCAGAGAGAGACACAACATCCCCGTGGCAGAGCAACTGCAGACTGCAGACCGCTCTAGGATCAGTCCTGGGCACTTCTGGCTGAGAACTGGGAACAATTCCCAGCCGCAACTCTGGAGAGCCACTGCCAGTGAGCTTAAACAACACCTGGCTAAGGCAGCTCCCCAGGTTCTTATACATCACATTATTCCTGCCTGTTGGACTGGCCATTAAGAGGCATTCCTGTGTATGCACCCACTTGAAAAATGGCAAGAAGCCACCAAGAGCATTAGTATCACACCGCTTGTATCTTTTGCCCAAGGCAGATACATTGTTAATACAGCTCCCTGCACATACATGGTCCCCTCTCATATTATGTTTCAGATGCATTATTCAAGCCCAGGACTCACACCCAGAATTTAAAGTAACTCAGCAAGGGGTCGCAGTTATCTGAACCAAGGGATAAAGTCACCCTCAGTCACAAAGGCTGCTGCATTGAGAAGCCTGCTTGCTATGAAATAAGAGGCCAGCTGGGATCCCCAAAGCTCTGACAAGCTCTGCACACTTCTTACTCAGACTGAGCTCGTGGTGGTCTGGTGCAGAAAGCGGGAGGGACAGGGCCATCTGTATGCTTTCTGGCCACACTGAAACTGTGGGTTTTGACCGCACAGGCTCAGAAATGTGCCAAAGCCTTAAGGGCCAATGTTGCAGCCCCAAAGCAGCCACCACTTGCACCGTGCACCAGCTCATGCAAACGGACACCAGATTTCCCTGCGGGGAAGCCATTCTGGGAAGATTTTCTTCTTGCAGCCAGGTGCAGCCAGGCAAAGGAAGAAACGAGAAACACAAATGGGGAAGATTATGGCCCAGACTGCAAAGGAAATGGAGGCCGCAGAACTAGAAGGCCCAAGCAGGTGTGGCTTCCAGGGCACTTTGAAGTCAGCTAGTTTGTGGTGTGTCTGGGGAATCTAGAGCAATGGTCCTCAAATATATATGCCAGGAAGAACTAAAGTAGCCTTCCCCAAACTGTGCTTTCCAAATGCATTGTGGGGATGCTTCAAGTTGCAGTCTAACGTGCCTGGTGGGCACTGGGTTGCCTATCCCTGGGATAGGGTTGAAAAAGCCATGCAAAAACCAAGCCCTCATGAAGGATACACCCTCCAACTAATCTGTGCGCCTTGCAGTAAGCAGATGTATTGAAATGACTGGCAGAGCAGCAGGGACAGTATGTTGCACCACACAATTGCATTATTGCAAATACAAGAGAAGCATTTTGCCAGCGACTTGTTCCCATGGATTCAAGCCAACTTCAGGAGGGGATGGTCATGCCAGAGAGGCCAAGATCATGAAGAAAACTCATATTATCAACGGCAACCCACAATCGAGGCTGTCTGGAACCAGAGATGCTGGAAGGAAGCAAGGCTTGCCATCTGCTTGGGAATCACAGACAGTATGGCACATGCAGGGTAGGGCCTTCCCATCAATAGATGCCAATGCAGGAAAGGACTTTGTGCTGAATGATCCTTCGCTAAACCAGGAAAACGTCCTTGCTTTGCTTCTCAAATGAAATATTTGCCTGCCATCAAAGCACTGCTTTCATCCCGAGCTTAATGCTACCTTTGCCTTCCCACAGCTTGTGCTTCTGGCCCTTTAGACTGGGCTTAAGAAGTCTGGACATTTCAAAAAGTCTCTTGTTGACACCACCCCTTTTGCAGGTTGAAGATCGAGGAGGGTTGCTCCGGATACCCTGCAGCAGGGTTCTTATGCCAGCCTTCTTGGACATAGTGTGCCCCCTACATGCATCCTGCTCCTGGTTTGAATTTCAGATCCCCTAAGTTCCTGCAGGCATGGCTAATGGGTTGTAATGCTGGGAAATGTCATCCAAATCTTTTGGGCTACACCAAGTTGGGGAAGACTGCCTTACTCTGTGCCTTGGGGTGGCTGGCACTGCAGCCAACAGGTGCAGGGACATCCCAGGAGCACCATCACGGTCACACCTCTCAGCTTCGGCTTTTCTGGTGGGGCAAATGAGAGCTAACATTAACTGGGCTCTCCTGGAAGTGCAAGAATACTGCCTGCTGTACCGGCTTTAGGTAGTTCTCGAAAGAGGGAGACACACCTACAGCTTGCATGAGGCCCCAGGCATTCGATCCTATGCTATCATGGGCACAATAACTTTGTCTAGAGGCAAGGACACCATGGCATTACATTAGATGCACACCGACTGACCTCAGGTGGAAGGTGCCACAGCCATGTCATTCCCCTGAAAAGGACTCGGTAGCATAAGGCCAGGCAAGAACTACTGTCTGTGGCTGCCTAGATGGCACAGGGACCCAAGCAATGGGTTCTTTCAGCATCTTGAGTTGCCAGATTCAGAATGAATCTGAGTCAAAGGGATCAACAGCGACGCAGAAGGCAGCAAGGGTGCAATGCCGATGCCCGCCCTTTTTCTTTGGGCTCCTCTTATCTTTGGTACCCACAAGCCACCAGGAGAACTGGGCACCTGAGGCTACAAATCCAGGGCCTGCCAGATTTCTGACTAATGCAAGCCCTGCTGAAATGGATTCAAGCGGGGGGGGCAGGGGGGGAACAGCAGCCACCCAATGCAGAAGGGCAGGAGAGCTGCTGCGCATGGATCATCTCCACCAGCCTCCTGCTCTGCCCACAGCAGCACTGAGGCCTGCTTTGGCTCACAGCAGAGCGGGTTCAGACACTCTGTTCCGTAAGTTGCCTAAGACGTCTATGCAGTTCATCTGGAGTGAAGAAAAAACTGTTATTACTAAATTTATATCCCACCTTTTTCTTTTTTAAAGAACTCAAGGTGGCTTGCACCATTCTCCTCCTGCTGCTCTCCATCTCATCCCCACAACAACCACCATGTGAGGTAGGTTGGGCTGAGTGTCTGTGACTGGTTCAAAGTCACTCAGCTGACTCTATGGTGGAGGGGACTAGAACCCAGACCACCTGAGCCTCAGTTCCCTGCTCTTAACCACTATACCACACTGTTCTCCTGCTAACTTAGTTATATCATGGAGGTCTTCCATATGCAGGGCTCTCACCTCTTCCTGTCTGTCACTTGATGATAACGGCACCTGCATGTTTCAGTGGGCCACCAAAGAACACACACCTGGGTTATTCCCATTATCTTATTTTAGGTAGCATCAGTCTGCTAGCCACCAGTCATTAAAGGGGGCTTCATACGAACTACTCTGTGTGGGGAGTTTCTTGGGGTAGCACTGTCCAGTCTACCCTTACCCACCTGTGTACAGTTTCTCCTCACAAACATCCAGCAGATTTTCACAAGAATGACTTCTCTATGTGTCCAGCTGGTCACTAGAAGTTGTTTGCACGCAGCTCCAGCCATGGCCTCCTCACTGTGTTCATTCAACAGAATGATGGGGCCCCAGGCAGGCCATTAAGTGTTCACTAATCAAGGATGGAGAAACGAGCCAATGTACATGCACGGGTACACTAGCACAAGGAAATTGGCTGCAAGAGGGGGAATCTTTAGTTCTGTTTTGCCATCAAATGGGGGTTGAGTAGTGGTGGTGGGAGTCATAGCTGCATTTCATCACTTAACATTATGTCTATTACTGTATTAGGAATCTTGTCTGATTTTGTACTGTTTTATTGTTAATAGTGTATTTGAATTTGTATTTGCCATGATTATATTATTGTGTTTACATTGGTTTTGGTTATTATAAATTGA